AATCTGCAGCTAAATCTGTAGAATTAAACAATATGCCTTGTCCTATTTCATTATCACCAACTAACTTATTATCATCAAATTTATCAATACTATTATCTTGCAATTTTTCACTATCAGTATCGGCACTATTAGTATCAGATTCACTATCTTGAAACATTTCATCTCTTAAAAATACTATATTTTTGACATCAAAACGTTCATTAACATTTGAATTATAATCAGTTGATTCTATTTTGGAGCTTTTAGCATCTTCAGTATTTTTAGTATTTTCAGTATCTTCAGAGCTTCAGTAAAGTTTTAATTATCTTCAGCTAAAAAAGTTGCTGAGATTACTTGTTCTTGCGAATCTTATATAGTAACTTTTTACCAAAAAAACATAGTTCTTTTTCAATATTTGAAATACAAAAAGAGTGAACTTGTGCCATAGCTTGAATTCTAGATAAGGAAAGCCTTTGTCTTCATTTTCTATATAGCCAACCTAATATTGAAAAGGTTTTCTCACAATCAGCAGAATGTGGTGTGATTGAAAAAAGCTTAATTGCCAACTTTTCAATAGTTTTGGAACAAGTATAATTTGTTGACCACCACAGCAATGATATATCAGTTTTAAAACAGTAAGGCAAATAAAATCTCATTTTTTTTATAAAATAATCACATATAAGCTACAAGAGTTGTATATTCATATCAGTCATGCCCTTCTTGTTTCCATATTTCAATTGCAATCATTACGATTAACTCAAATTGTTGTTTACATAATCCAGCACCTAATAAAAAATTATTAATATTTAATAATATATATTTAATTATTAAATTTTAAAATATATATGTACCATAATAGCCCGGAAGAAGAAAATAAGCTAGCAAATAATTATCAGCATTAAAATCTCTTCATTGTCTATTAAAAATTCTTATACAGTAATTTTTAAATCCTTTAGCTCTTATATTTGAAACTTTTTAATAGCAGCTGCTAATTTAATAAATTGTAAAAAGCAGTCTGCTAATATTGTTGATTATGTTTCTAATTCATAATAGCTATTTGAATAGGAGATAAAATCTTAACCAAAATTTTGAGATCTAAAAAATAATATGGTCACCTTAAAATTTGCTTTATTGTTCAACTTGAAATTATATCTGGGTTATCATTTATAATCTATAATATTATTATATATTATTTAGTTATTTAATTATTATACATTATATATTTAATACATATAAATAAAAATATTTACTTTAATAAATGCATGTTCAAGTCTACTAACAGATAAGGTATATTCATTCATATGCAGAAGTTCATCTAGTGTTTATAAATTTTTTCAATCCACTACCAACAATATTTAATTTAGATATTGCATGATAAATATGAGTTTGGCATATGTGATTTTTAAAAAACTTAATAATTTAATTGTATTCTTTTATAAGATGTAAAGGAAATATATGCTTTAAAATATATATATACAATAAGTTAATAAAAAATATATAATTATATATATATATATATTTATAACACTGGAGTTCAGGTCCCATAGCTTAGTTGTTAAGCTCCTGTTCCTCCATGGTTAAGGTTAACAGTTTGAGTTCGGCTAGAGGAAAATACTCTATAACCAAAAAGGAGCCTATAATTGAATATGAAGCCCCATAGTCAAGTCCAAGTGAAGGTACATATTTGAACAAGAAATTCTCAGAAGAAAACTGATACAGCAGAGAGTTGGGCACTACTATAGTGAGAAATGTGGAGAATGCCATTGACATTTGTGAAAAGGATTGACCCTGTCAATTATAGAATCACCTCTGGTGCAAATCTAAAACTGGTATAGATGTAGAATCTATATCTGTTATAGTAGAGTTTATTTCAGTATAAACTAGCCCAAAGCTTTGCATTCATCAAATTAGGCATTGGTGTCACAAAGTAACTTAAAAATCAGAGACTTTAAATAGGGAACCTATAGGTGGGTTTCAGGTATAGCAATTAGTAGATAATCTGCAGGCAGAGCCTTCAAATAGACAATAACTAAAGTTGTATATGTGGCTAATTGTAGCCTCGTTGATAGTAAAATATAATACCCCCTTTTGTAATATAAAGATTGTAATATGTTTAATAAAAAGAATTAGAGCATAGAAGTCTCTCTATAAACTATAAATATATATATATATATTTATGATATCTTTTGATATAAGGTTAATACATTGTGCAATACAATTCAAACTTAAAATATTTGGAAGCTTTTTGTAAATAATTTGCTATGTAAGCTTAACATTACTAGCATTATTTGTCACAATTGCTGCAAATTTGTTAGACCCAATTTCATTTAAAATTATATTGATTTCATCTGCAAGAAATTCTGCAGTATGTGAATTTTCTGAAAAATCCTTCAATGAATATAAGAACTTATTATGCATAGGTGTCAAAATCATGTAAATAGAACTTTTATTAGGTGATGTCCATCTATCTAAAACTATAAGTATAATATTTTAAATAAATAAATAAATAAATTTAATATAAAATAATAAATATATACAATAAGTAGCTGCGTGATATTGTCACGCTAAACAAGGAACAGACGACAACTCCAATACAGAATAGTTATATAAGTAATAGTTTTGAATTCAGATAAATAAATATTGAGTAAAAAACTAAATACAGCAGAACTATATTGATATGAGACACTATAATTTAAACAAACAAAATTTTATAATTTTTAGATATATATAGTATAGAGTGTAAAATATCTTTTTAAAAAACATATTATAATAATTCACTACAATTTTCTAATGCTAACCTTAATAATACATAATGCTGGAACAGATATTAAAAATAAGAGTGGGGTATTTCACACCTTATACTGTATGGATCCGTTCATAGTAATAAATGATTTTGGCAGATGATAATTATATAGACTAACACAAGTTGAACAAATAAATATCAGGTGCATGCCGGAAGGCAAGTTTCCTAAAATATACTGCCATCGATCTACTAAATACCTACAGCATATTGGCATTATATTAGTAAGATATCAGAAGATAGATTGATATCAGTAACATAACAGCACAATATTGGGATAATAAAAAAAGCTTGTTAGCTTTTGTTCAGCTTTTGTTGATATTGTTCAAAAAAAGTTGAGAATGGAGTCATTATAGCATAAAAACAGAACAAAAATTGTATATTTTTAAATTTTTCAATTATAAAAATATGTATGATTTTTGTCTTGTCTTTACTACAATAATAACTCCATTCTGAACATTTTTTGAACAATACCAACAAAAGCTGAACAAAAACAGAACAAAAACAGAACAACCTTTTTTTATAGAGTTAGCACTCTGGGCCTAAAAGTAAGATCAGGATATCTCAATATTTTGCTGTTATAATATCGATCTAACTTCTAATATCTTACCAATATGCTGCCAAAATGCTGCTGATATTTAGCAATTATTTAATGGATCTATACAGACTATCAGGTACATATCAGAAACAGTATTGCATCTGATATTTGTTGATTCAATTTGTATAATATGAATAAGAAATGTAAACAGCTCACATTAAATACTTAAATCAATTAGACCAATGAACAATCACTAAACTTAAACTAAGAATACTCAATATAATTAGATAGCTATTAATATTATTCAGATTAATTAAAATGATCCCTTCTATAACAAAAAAAAATAGCTTCAAACTTATTTTTTTTATCGTGATAATGAACTTACTTACTGGTTAAACTGCTTTCCAACAATTAAAAATCGAGTTCTGATCTATAATTTATATGCTTGAGAGTACCTTAAATCATATGAACAAAAATTGAACCGAGAAATTAATTAATACATATATTGATTGATGATGTTCAATTGATTAATACTTAATTGAAATATTATGTGAAACCTGACATTATATGACAGAATTTTGTAGACCAATTTTAACTAATTGAAGATTTTAGAGCCATTAATGCTTGTATGGCTTCTTTAAATACTATATTGCTTTAAAATTTTTATTACTATACTGTAGCAACATAATAATATTAATGTAAAGCTTACCAATATCATTTACCACAACTTGAGCTATGCTCCAGCCATATCACAAGTCATGGCTTCAATAATTATGATTTAATCTGGAGCTATGACTTTAAAAAGCGATTTAGTTGCAGCTAATGCTCAGTCATAGCTTAAGTTGCAGCTCATCGGCTTTGGTCAGCTTGGCAGCCAAAATCGAATAAATTAAAGTTATGTCATTAATTAAGGTTGGATTACTAATTATTTTTTTTTTACAATAAACAGAGAAATGGTTGTAATGAAGAAAGAGTCATGTAAACTGATTTCAGCTATTACAGCTTAGATTCAAGACTTTTGCGCTAAAAATCCACATTTGGCTTGTGAATTTTGAAAGACAATAATAAAAACAAGTGCATTTTTATAAATAATCATCATGCATTTTAATCGAGACAAAAACCTGTTAAAGATCACTCTTATCGAAAACAAATTTCATACAAGATATAAATAAATAGCATATGATGAATTTCATGATGTTTAAGCACAAATATTCCCCTTTTTATTGCATTTACACACTGCCCAATCAGATATGAGATTTTGCAAACATACATTATTTAAAATGCCATATAACTATACTCCATTCCTGGTATATATACTAATAGTTAAATTCTCAGATTTTTCAAAAATAATTTTTTGTTTAATTGTAAATCTAGAATACTTTTGATTTGATAATTGCCCACTAAAATTTCTTTTGTGGTGGTTGATAATTTGGACACAAATTTTGAAGCAGATCGATAAAAAATAGGGTTTCAATTACTGAAAAAGGAATACCACAGACCACAAATGCTTTTAGTAATAAGCTATTTATAGTTTATTCATTCTTTAAATAAATTTTCTGTTTTTTGTGAAAAATATTTTGTAAGATTAGGCTAATTGTTTAACTTCTGTTTTTTTAAACCAGTTATGTTTTCTGACTATTCTTCAAGATTGTCACAATAAGCCATATAAAGTAAATATATTTGCTAAATCTCATTATCTACATTAGGATACTCTAATGCAAGATAGGCTTCAAGTTTTTGTAGTTCACCTCTTAACCACTTAGCTGGACAATAAGAACATTTTGCTAAAAAATGTCCAGGTAAAGAGATTCGTTTTTGATAAAAAAATTTCCAAACAGGTAATTGGTTTCGTCCCAAAGTATGCTTTATTTAGTGTATTCAAATCTAAAGATATATAAGAACTTGATAAACTCACTTTCTCAAGAGTAATTTGTGATGAAGCTTTAGTTGCTTTAAATTTTTAGTTATTGCTTTGTTGTTAGGCATCATTAATTACTACTATGGCTCCGAAGTCTGGGTTCAGTCCGGTTTAGATCCAGCCAAACCTGGATACAAACCCAAACTCAAACCATAAATTTTAAAATTTTTGGACCTGAACTCAAACCTGAATATAAAGTATCAAACTTGATCTGGACTCAAACATAATACAGGTTTAGTTTGGGTTCAGTTTAAAGTTTGCAAACTTGTTTGGGTCCAGAATATAAAAACTTGCTGAATAATTTTTCAGCTAGTAATTTTTTAAGCATAATAAAAATTGATAATATATATGTAATTTAAAATTAGATGGCTAATATAAATATAAAATTATGCACATCTCTTGTTGAATTTAAAAAATATAGTATTTTTAAACCATATTTGCTAGCAAATTATTGAAAAAAATTTAGAAGCCTATCAATTTGAAAAGTTACAAAACACTTAGATATTAACAGATCTTCTATAAGTCAGGTTCTTGTATATTTTCAAAGATATAGTTGTATCAATAAACTTTCATCACTTTCAGAAAAACCATGTTCTTTTAAACATGAATAATATAAATTATCTTCAAGTTTTAATAAAAGAAAAACCTGACTGGTACTTATGAATTACAATTCGAGATAAAACTTTGATTGAGATATAATATTAGTCTTACAACTTGGATATATATACAAAAAGGTAATATTTTATATATTTATATATATTTTTATTTTATAAACTTTTTAATTTTATAGATTTTAAAACTTGCAAAAGAAAAAAATGAAGTTGATAAAAACAATTTCATTTTACAAATATCTCAGTATATACCAAGTTTGTTAGTTTTTTTAGACAAAACTACTTATAACAGAAGAATATTATTTTGACGCTATGGCTGGAATTTTTCAGGATATATATATACAATAGTAATTATAGCTTTGTTATAGGAATTTTATAAATTTCTAATCTTTCTTTATTGATATGCAGCAAATCATTTCTAATAAAGTTAAGTATCTTATTTATTGAGCATGCTCCAAAATCTTTTTTTATCATATTCAGGTTGTATTTATAAGATTTAATAAGTTAAATTGA